TCTAACCAATGCTGAGCTCATAACTTACATTGGTAGGCAGGCATAATATTATGCTAGGACTAAATCAGTGCTATAAGATATATCAGCGTTAAAGAGTTCAATTTTAGTTGTAGGATTTATTTTTTTTAATTGGTGGAAATCTTCTGACTAAAACTTTTTCCAACAGCTTTTGGCTACCACAGGATTTGGAAGTTAACTGAGGTGGCTTTCTTTTCATCCTCTCAGGCAACCTGCCTCTGCAAACTCACTCCCACTTCCTTTCTCCCCAAATTTCAAACAAATTTATACTGGAACATTTGATATTTAAAAGATAATTAAATTATTAGGTGATATAATTTACATCTGAGAAATATATTTTAGAAAATGAAATAAGTTGCTGCTTATACTGCTGGATTTATTGGACTCATTTAATTTATATAGCAATTAGCTTCATTTGTGATGATATCATACTACGGCTACTATGAAAAGCTGAGGTCATTTCATTATGCAAGATAGGGTCTCTTCTGTTGGATGGGAAGTTTAAAGCTCAGTGCCTTATCTGAATCTCTCTGTCAGCAAAAACATAATCCAAGTCAGCTTTCAACAAACAGAACAATTAATTCCTTAACTAAGCTAAACAGTACCAAGTAAGATCTAGGCTTATTTTTGAAGAGAAATTTAGAAATAAAATAAAATCATACACATGTAAAAATGAGTGCGGAAGCACTCATGTTATCTTGATGTAATGGAAATAGTTCACTATAGAGCATATTGAAGAAGGGAAAGGAAGCTCATTTCTGAACTGGAAAATATCAAAATTTATGGCCAATACAGAAACAGTAGTCTGAGTTAAGTATGTAGCCTGCATAATTAAATTGTAAACCGCCCAGAGGAAGCTCATTTCTGAACTGGAAAATATCAAGATTTATGGCCAATATAGAAACAGTAGTCTGAGTTAAGTGTTAACTCTGCTAGTAGTGGGATATATTTCAGGTGAAATAAGAAAGGGATTATAACTAGTCTGTTATTTAATTGGTATAATTTTAAAAAATCCTGATAGTGAGAGAATAAGAAGGAACTCTTTACAAGTTCAGATGCTCTTCTGTAGCACACCTTTAAATGCCACTGAACCATTCTGATTCCTCAAACTATTTCTGGAATCAGTGGCTGAAATCCTGTTTTGCAGTTACAGAAATAACATAACTTTTAGACAGAAACTGCTGTAAGGTAAGAAATCTCTATAGACATTACAGTATCTGTTGCATACTGAGTCATGGAACTTTGCATGCAACAATGTCTACAGAGCTTTCTTAAGTTGCAGCAATTCACTTCGAAAAGTTATGCAATCTCTGTAATTGTGCAACAGGATTTCAGCCGCTAAATAAAAGACAGAAGACAAAGAAATGCAATTATAAGGAGAGGGAGATGGGGAAAAAAGGGGGTGAAAAAGGAGGGGCTTTGGTGGAGAGCACAGCAAACAAGTTTTTAAAAAATGAATGTAACTTTTTCCTTCTTTTCAAACCCCAATAAACAGATTGGGGGAAGGGAGGAAAAAGGGTAAAAAAGATGGCTTTTTTCTACTTTTTTTCCTGCTAAGGCTGCTCTGTAATTGCCATAAAAAGCAACTTGACATCACCTTAGCTATTAAAAATTGGCTCCCTCTTTAAATTTTGGGGCTCACTTAACAGACAGCTAAGCTGTTAATCGATTGTGGTTGTAGGTTTTTCTCTGAATATGCCGGCCACAGAGACTGGTGAAATGTTAGGAAGAAAAACCTCCAGAACCTGGCCAAACAGCCCGAAAAACCTACAACCACCATCAGATCCTACAGTACTGGGTATGCATAGCATTGTACTATGAGATGCAATCTGTTCCTTCTCATACCTGTATTTCAGTACAGTACAAATCTTCTTCATAGCTACTCTTCTATTATTTTCATTCCCCATCAAAATTTCTGCGCAAACATAATAAAACTCTTTTGCATATCACTATGGTCTATCGTAGTATACGTTAAAATGGCTATGACAGCACACTTGCATGGCACCTACACACTCCTGTGTGTGTGTAAAGGTCTTTGGGTGGAATGCTTGGTGCATAAATAGCTCTAAGCCAAACACTGTATTGCAGAAACATTCTGAAGATCGGCAGTTCATGCCTGGCCCAGGGCTAGTTATGCATATGAAACATTCCTGCAAAAAGACTTGTATTTGTACTTTTTGTATCATATTGCCAGTTATAATGTTAAAAGTGACACTGACTTTTACGGCACTAAATCCCGTTGATCTATACAAGGTTCCCCCATTTAGAAGCAACTCCTGCAATTGGTCATAAGGCTTATGGGAAATATTTAAAGATTAAAAAGATAGATTATGTAGAACCGCAGTGGGGTACCTTTGGCATTCCAGATGGCTTGGGCTACAACTCCCTTATCATTGGCAGTACAGGCTGGCAATTCTGGGAGTTGTAGTACAAAACATTGGAGTGCCAAAGATTCATCACCCCTGATCCAGAGGTTTATGAAAGAGTAATAGAAACCAACCAAAAGACAACATTTGTATTAGCAGCTGCCTTTCTATTAGCACAATATAACTATTAGTCTGTATCAAGCATGCACAACCTGTGATTCTCAGTTGTTCGCCATGTCGCTCCTGACGCTAGCAACTCTGCCCACATTTCCTTGCAGCTCAGTAGATCATATGGGCTGTAGGAAAAGCCAAAGTACTCGTCCATAATTACCTGGACTACTGCTTTTTCCACTGCTAGTAAGGGCAATGAAACAGCTATCTCAGTGGTGAACCCTGGGAGAAGGAAAATGCTTCCTCCCAAACAATCCCTAGATTCTGTGGTACATTCAGAACTCCACATCCCCACATACTGAGGTGGATGTATGTAAAGGAATGAAGAGTGTGGACATATGCATGAGATTGTGTGTATTGCCAATGGTCCCAGATGGCACCAGCTACACTCTTAACACTGAAAATATTGTGTGCACAAACCTATGTAGACCAAGATTGTTTCTACTAGATACTATGCAGAGAATAGGAATCTCACAAGCAGAGAGTGGAGGTAATGCTTGTCTTATCTACAGATACGAGACATTTGAATAATATCACATAATCCTGTCTCTGCCTCTCCTTTTCATTTATGCTTATCTTTTCTTCAAAGAACCACCCAAAATTCATAGTTGTCAGTCATTAACACACAGTATTATGGGGGAGTGGGTGGAAACTTTCAGGTTTTTTTTAAACAGACCATCAGCATTGCCTAACAAGGGTTCTTTATTTCCTCTCTTTCCCCCTCCACAGGGGAGTGGGAGGAAGCTTTCAGTTTCTCAAGATTGTGATGGGGTTTAAGCAATGTAACACTTGGTTTGATCCCAGTGATCACACGTGCTAGAAGTGAATCAAAATAGAGAGATTTTACTGCCCCCCCAAAGAGTAGCCTCTGACCAGGACCCAAAAAAGTGTAGGTAAGCATGGATCAGGGATGGGCTGGCTCACCATGCCTACATGTGCATCATGAAAAAAGGAACACTTGTCTCAAACCAGAGCAAACCACAGGACAGATTCCTGCCAGCTTGTACCCTGAGTCAAGTTCAGTAATTTGCATTGACCTTGATCATGTTACCAAAAAGTTGAGTGTAAATTTATAACTTTATGACAAATATCCTGCCAGTGCCAAATTGCTAATATCTATCTTCTAATAATGGAAGGAAAGATTATTATCAATATAATTTACATCAATTAATTGTAAATTTCAAAATATAAATAAATGCTGTATTAGTGTCCTGTTGCTTCTCAAAAAAGGTACTTTTCTACACCACAACAAAAAATAGATTAAATTAATGTAAGAAATAAAAATTATACAAGTTATTTTGCACATGATATTCTGAGGAAAAAAGGTCACAAAATGGACAGAATTATGTCCAAAGACAAATGCATGTGAGCAGATCAGATTTACCCATGTTGAAGCCCTAAGTGATGTGAAGTTTAGAAGGGCCTATAGCATTATCAGAAATATATTATTTAAAGAAACATTTTTATTTCTTATTTGTTTATTATTTGAAGCCTCACATAATCCAAAGTCTTAACACTTAAGTTCATGAAGGGCCTATAGCATTATCAGAAATATATCATTTAAAGAAACATTTTTATTTCTAATTTGTTTATTATTTAAAGCCTCACATAATCTAAAGTCTTAACATGTAAATTCATTTGTTGTTATACGTTGTCAAGTTGCCTCTGACTTACGTTGACCATGTGACTAAGAGATCTCAATTCCTCAGTTTACACATAAATCCAGTTCAAGTAATTTTAAAGGAAATCACGAGTATAAAAAATGGAGTGTTTTAAACCATAAAAGCAGTTCATCCCAGATGCAAAAAGTGAAACTTCAGCGAGTTGTTAGAAATGTTCCATACATAAAAGTTTTCCACTTGGGGACAAAATGCTATATTTCTCTCAAGAGTACAGGTGTGGGATACCTTTCTATTTCTGTGATTCTAGGGAAATTGATCATGGGTGTAGCCTGTTTCATATACTGTATCTACAATTATTAACAGGGTTACTCCCGGGTCAGGTGCTTCACCCCGCTCTTTGAACTGTGTCGCTCCCTATTGTGCAACCAAACCAAGAAGCAGCTAGTAATTTATATTGGGACCCGCACGAGAAGGCGGAGACATCTTCATTGCTGGCGTCTCCTTCGACCTATCGTAGCGACAGCTTCTTCAGCTTGAACCAATAAACAAAAAGATAAGGAAAAGAAAGGGGCGGAAAAGCCACAGTGTAAATCAAAATGCTGTGAAAACTGAAAGGCGGAGCGAGATCTTGACAGGCGTGAAGTTTCACCAATAACCGGGAGAAAGCCCTTCCGAGGTAACCAATGCGTTATGAATCTCGAAGAGGGGAAGAAAAAGGGTAGGGAAGGAGGTGGGAGTTGTTGGCAGGGAGAGGGAGTTGGTGCGGCTTGGCGGCTGAGGAGGAGCGGAAGGGAGGAGGCTGCGGGTAGCAGGTGAGAGCGAGCGAGCGGCCGGCCGGCTGGGCCCCGGAAAGTGCCTGGGGTGGGGCTTGGCTGAGGGAAGGGTCGCTCGGAAGACTCGGGGCGAGGTTTTTTTTCCCCCCCTCCCCGCCGGGCGGGGAGAGCGGAACAACCCGTGGCCAAAGGCCCCATCTTCGAGGTGTGGGGCCGGAGAGGAGGGCGAAGGCTTCTTTGCCTCAGAAGCGGTGTGGTGAGTCGGGAAAGGCGGAAGGCGGCTGCGCTCGAAGGGCTTTGGCGTTTGGTTGGGAAAAGGGGAAGAAGAGAGGAAGAGAGGGAGGGAGAGAGGGAGGGAGGGAAGGAAAAAGAGGGAGTTCGCAGTCAAGCGAGCTCGTCGCCCTGAAGTGCGGTATCTTTTTCTGGGGCAGGTCGCGTTGCTGAGGGCGAAGCTGGGGCTTGTTCGTGTGGAGGGGGACG